CTTCCCCTTGTTTTATGTTCCTGAATGTCTATAATCTTTTCTTTTTTCCTGCTTAGGAAAACTGCACTTTTTTAGGAGTATGCATTTTTCCCAGTTGGGAAGAATTGTGGATTTTGAAAATATGTATTTTCCTGATTACATGTTTCCTAATAGGAAACAAGAAGATGTTTGTGTTAGGGACTGCAAAAGAGGTGAAATGAGCTTCGAAGAAGAATGTGGAGCATATCGGCAAACTCAGACATCACTTGCTTGCTCATTCCTAGACCCCACATTTGAAAATAGGTCTTATTCCTGATAACCTTGGCATATAGTAGGCACTACATTTCCTTTCCTTCAAGGAACTTGGAGAAAATAAATTGGGCTTACATACAGACTTCCATCTATAAGCTACATAGGCCAGAGTGAGACAAACTTGTGCTTTCCAAAGGGTTAGGACTGCAACCCCCATAAGCCCCAGTTAGCATAACCAGTAGCCAGGTGTTATGGGTGCTGCAATCCAAAGCATCTTGCAGACTCCCAGGCTTAGGTCCAGACCTGTTTTAGCTTGAGAAATGAAACAACAGCAGACCTTCCTTCAGACTACGAACAGCTTCTGCTGCTTTACAGGCCCTGATCTTTTGCTAGTAAACAACAGCCTAAAGATTTATATGCCTAATTTTGGTCTGGGTAGGATTGGAATGCAATTATCCTTTGGATTTTCCAAATTTTGTGAAACTCTCAGGTGATTCATTGCCCAGAGCTTGAGAAACACTGGGACAGGGAAATAACAGACTTCCCTTCTGTGTGGATGTAGTTAATTACAGAGAATGCATGAATTACTGTGCATGCCTCTCAAAGCACTCTGTGCAGCTTCCTTGTCCTTCAGAGCAGGAGGTAAGGTGAGCAGCATGCAAATCCCTCTCAATCATGGCTGGGTATGCCAATGCACTGAGCTTTGTTGTTTACTCATGAGGAATACCTCTATGTAGAGAAAAAGATTGTACCCAAAGAACCGTAAGGCAAGTTTAAGTTGGACAGGGAAGCACACATTACATCAAATTCACATGTAATACAGTAGTACCTTGGCTCATGAACTTAATCCGTTCCAGGACTCTGGTTGTGACCCAAATTGGTCATGAGCCAAGTTAAATTTCCCCATAAGGTTCAATGTAAATAAGGTTAATCCTTTCTATAACTTTTTTTTTTTTTTTATCAGAAAAACGTGAAGAAGCAAATTGACAAAGAACAAAGATCACGGCCATCTCTCCATCCCCCCCAGGACGACTGTGATTGCGCCCATCAGCCCTGCACGTGCCCGTCATCCTGGCGCATTGGGTGGGGGGGGAAGATGGGCGCAAATGCGGGTGTGCTTGGGGGGGGGGAGACGGGCATGATTGTGCTGGGGGGGTGATGGCCGAGATTGTGGTTGTGCTTGTGCAAAGACGGGCGCAATCTCGGCCATCTCCCCACTGCCCCCACCACGATCGCCACCATCTCCCCACTCGGGGGGGGGCGGGGAGATGGCTGCGATCACGGTCAGCCCCCAATGTGGAGTTCAAGACCTGAGTCAAAATTTCTATGAAATTTTTGTTCGTGGCCCGATTTGGTCATGAACTGAGGCGTTTGTGAGCTGAGGTACCACTGTACATCCCAATTGCTGTGCATTTTTTCTCTCCACATCCATGTTTCCCTCTCCCTGAGCCCATGATTTCAAAACTTAAACCTCTGACCAATATTTATTTGAAATTATTGACGTGTTTCAAACAGAAGGCTTCCTTTAGGTGAATAATGTTGTCAAGAAACACCTGATCTGGAAAGACAGAGCTTTTTTAGCAGAATCTGCATATTCCAATAATAACTCTGCAAAATGTACCTAGCTATGGTTTACTTATTTATGACTTTCCCCATTTACTAGCAGTGGAAAGGTTAGCTAATGTAGTGCAGACAGGAATACATTTTTAAAAAGAAAAAAAGTCTGACAGTGAAAATTAACCACTGGAAGGATGCAAAATTGTGTGAGCGGACAGGTGGCCATTGTCTCATCCTAGATGATTGTGTCAATATGACCTCCACTTGAAGCGTTCCCTAAGCAACAATTGTTTCATTTTCATGTAAAAGCTATTCAAGGATAAGCTAAAGAAAGCTGCATCTTAATAGGGTGCCAGTCAGCAAAGAGAGCATAACAAAAAGTGATCTAGCTAGGAGCCAGGATATAGTGATGTGTGAGGAATGTAACAGTGGGGTGACCATCCAACAGATTTTTACAGTTTGGCCCCCAGATTCTGTTTCAGCAACCCTGCCTTACCACCGATTTGCAGTAATACTGTATGTCTTCTGTCCACTTGTAGACTTCCACCTCTAAGATGGCTACAAGTTGCATATTTTTTAAAAAAAATTATATTAAAGGAAATGTGTGCAAATCACATTATTTGTGCAAATTAGACTAGTGCAATTTGTATGAACTGGAAGCAGAAAGCTGTCAATCTAGTGTGATTTGCACAAATTACACTGGAGCTATATAATTTTTGGCTTCCAATTTGCACAGATCCCACAATTTGCACACATTTCTTTGGCTTTTTAAAAAGATGTGTCAGTCATGGCCCTTTTTAGAAATGGAAGTCTGTGAAAACAAAAAGGTTCACCTCACTTCTGATCATTACTTTAGAAGCAGGCAGGAAAGGTGTCAAGCTCAAATAAGCTGGGTTTCCCCACATCAACACATTCCTAGCAGGATGTCTCTGCTTTGAAAATGGATTCTGCCATGGCGTCACTCAGGCCTGGTCTTGAAGGCTCAACTACACTTAATGTTAAAACATGACTAGTGCCAATGCCTGTCTTTATCAGTTGGAAGGAATTTAGTTCTGTCCTCAGCCCTGCTTTGACTGGT